TCTTAGTAAGACAGGTTTCACAGCAAATCAGAGAGCAGCTATATATTACAAGCCCAGTTTGGACCACATTGACAACCCACAGTTTGGGTAAGTGTCAAAACAGGTAAGGATTTACAGGCTTCTGATATAAAAATTACATTTCGACCCTTGACAGTCAATCTATTTTGCCTTAAAGACCTACACAGGTGTCTTCATTTACCCTGGCTGATTAGACCTCTGGGGCTGACAGTTACAGTAAGTGAGGTTGGGATATGTACTAATAAAATGAGGTCCTTCTCAGAAGACATTTAGACAAAAGTAAAGGTGCAAATGAAAACATTAGTCATGGCTAAACTCCATTTAGTTGCTTCAGTAACATGGTCCTGGTATTTTTACATTATCTTCATACTGGGACACTTGAGCAGAACAGAGCCCTCATTAATGTTACTGCAGTGACAAGTCAAAATGTCTGCTTTGAAAAAGGCATGCTGTACCTAATGAGTGCAAAAAGGAGAATTCAGTCAAGCACTGTTTGTACTCTCCTTTGTACTCTCTGTCAAAATAGTTAAATATCACCAAAACCAAAGCCATCTGAATGGCTCTATCCAAACAGGACTAATAAGAAAGTTAGTTTTGTTGGAATTTGAGTAAACTAACCCTTTAAGTCTCCGCAGCTGAAAGGATGGCATGGGTTGTTGAGTGTGTGACTTTTCCTTAGCTAATTCAATTAAAGCAAATAGCTTTACTTTGATTGCATTAAATGATTCTCTAGAGACGTGTTACCTCAGAAACGGTGCTTGTTGTTTTTGTCTACAGGCTCCTGTTATCAGACAGTTTCATGTCTCAAACCAAACGGCATTACCAGCCTCACATCTGGTCTGATTGTTCAGGGTCTTTGCCAAACCTCATTAACAAACCCAGAGACAGCGGCTTCTATCAGCTGAAGAGTCACCAGAAAACAGCAACAGTGGAGAAGAAGGTGGGGAAGCTTGGGCAGTGTCAAACATACAGAAACTGTGTAGTGCGTTTCTCCTTATTTATGTTCATGAATGTGTTTTTTTAGACAGAATACCAAAGATTGTTTGTGCCTCATCCTCTCTCACCAACAGGTAAAATAAGCTCTATATAAGACTAAAAGTTTATGTAAATCTGAAGATTAAAGATAAGAGCAACAGAAAATGCAAGGTCACCATTTTGTGAAAATGTACAACAGGCCGCTGTATCATAATAAAATAAATGAAGACTTCTTATACGTTGTTGCTTGTTGCTCCAGGTTCCCAGAACCATGTGACTATAGGACCTAAAGGAGAGACTGGTTTCACTGAGGGGACACAGCTTCAGTTTAACACTTTTGAGGAGAAAAACAGCTGCAAGGTGATGTCTGTTTATTAAAGGATTCTGTGAGTCTGATGAAATGATGTAGATTTTATATTCCTATTTTAGTCACAGTCAACAAATTGACAGAACCATCAATGAACTGATCCACTTATTCCTCTGGTCACCAGAGCTCCATTGTTGTCTAAAAACTATTAAGAACAAATATTGGACTTAATTATAAAGAATACGGGCAGGAACCTACTAGGCCTTTGTTAAATGAAATATGTATTTGTGAGTCATTTTTAAGAAATTTATTGGGGTTTTTTGATGCAAAAGAAAACTAGAGAATATCAGTCAGCCTATCTGATGCACAACATTTCACTCTTGTAGGTTTGTTGACAGCTGTAACTGCAGTGCACCAGTTATTTCTTATGTGTGGTCTGATTTCCTGCTATTTGTAACTTTTTTGTAATTTTAACCTTTTGCTGATGTTCAGGTTGAACCTCGCCAGACTCACAGCTCAGTGATGAAAGACGATTTCTTGCCACCATCATTTCTGCAGGTGGATAAACACTTCACGCCGACTGTGCCCTCTCTTCATGTTGGAAAAAACAAAAAACTGAACACAGTTGTCATTTTATTTTGTGTAAAGCGGTGAGGTTTGACAGAGTCTTTCTGTGCTTGTGTTTGAGGGCATGGAGGCGATTCAGGGCTTGAGCAGCCTTTCTTGTCAAGAAACAGGATTTAATCGTGGTGCTGTTGCTCCTTTGGCCTGCCCAGTGAGTACTGACCCCCCTTCTCTGGCTGCTGTAGTAGGTTTTGAGTTTATCACTTTAACATCCTTCTCTCTGCTCTTCTAGACCTCCCTTCTGCAATCACCCCAGACAACAAAAAATGCAACAACTCAGAAGACTATTGGAAAAAAGGTCATATTTATCTTTCTTATATCCTTACCTCTGTGACTGGAGCTTTCATCTGGACTCTTCAGTGTTGTTTCAAGTCTGTTGTTGTATTTTTAGGAGCCTTCAGGGTCTCTTTTGAATGCACCAAACAACTTGGTTTTCCCTAACACACCTTTTGATTCTTCACACTTCACTACTCATTATAGGAGCAAGTAAGTGTGTTTAGGGTTTTCAGCTCTGGTGGGGGAGTTTTTAGATCCTTTACCCATGTAAAAGTGAGAATACCAAACTGTGACAATAATCCAAGTGTAAATCCTGATTTGAAAATATTAGTTACAGTAAATAACTGCATGTAAATACTATTAGTAAAATGCACTAAACTATCAAAAGCAAAAATATCCATAATATGGAAAATGTCTTGAGTTTGATTATTATTGGATTATTAATACAGGTGTATTAGCTAATGCTAATTTTAGCTGTTTTGCACAATGCTGAGTAGTTTAATCTTCAGCAATACATCAAATTGTATGTGTTTTATGTTTTGTATATAAAATCTTAGTCTGCAAAGTAACCTGTAACTAAGGGGATCAAATAAATGTAGCACAGTAAAATATTTCTTTCTGAAATGTAGTGGAGCAGTAAGTATAAATACCTCAAATTTGTGCTTGAGTGAAGTACCTGATTAAATGTATGAACTTTCCACCAGACCTTAAGCTATTTTTGACACTAATTATAAATATTATTCAAGTACTGTTGAAATGACAAATATCCAGTTTAAAAAAAACAACAACATTATAGGTTCTGTCGTTATGCTGAGGTTAAAGATTGGAGATCTAGCCAAATTGGTGTAGGAATCATCAGTGCAACAATGGACAGCAGCTACAGCCGTCGGTGCATGGACAGGTACAGATATGTTGCACACGTGAAGTCCCATCGTGCATATAGTATATTTTCTTTGACTTACATTATGCCTTTTTATTTCACAGGTTCATATTCGGGGGCTAAAACCTGAGGTAGTACCTGCATGGCTAGTCACCAGAAAAATAACATTTGAGGTTTTCTGCTGACACATTAACACATTCTCTGAAGATTCTTTCTTTTTTTCCTTATAAATAAATCCCTAAGCTCTAAACCACTCTCCTAATGGTGTTGTTTTACAATAGCTCTGTCAAAAAAACAACTCATTTTCTTCTTTTTGTGAAGTCCTTTTTTGTGTGAGTTGAAAAGCTGACAGTTGTGTGAAGTGAGCGGTGTGAAAGCCAAAGAGGGAGTGAAAGAGATGATGCATTATCTATGCCTCACTGACCTACAGAGAATGAGAGGAGTGTAAACTAATGAGCAAAATAATTACACTCTGAGTATGGCACTGCTTCCCATGGACGTCTGCAATATGTCAGACTATTCTGCCACCCGCAGATGTAGAACAAGCAGCAAAATACAGAGTGAGAAGGAAGACCAAGTTTCCACCAGCACCACAATGTGTGTCATGTACTGTAGGCTGGAGTAGTGCACATAGTGTGGGCCACTGCTCAGAAAGTGCAGTGGTTTTACATTATCAACAAGATTGCTGTGTCAAAGTAAGGGACATCAACCACACTGTTTTGTTTCAGCAAAGTACAGATCAAGTTTACAGCAGTCTATAATATAGGCTTCTTAATGGAAATTTTAGTCATGCTCTGGTCTGTCGGGCAGGGCACCACTTTGGTGCAGACTGAAGTATCTCAACTAGTACTGGATGGACTGTCATGAAATTTTTGACCTCAGACAATGAATCCTATTGACTTCGATGATTCCCTGAGTTTTCCTCTAGTGCAACACCATGAGGTTGACATTTGTGGTTTTAAATGACTAAACAAACGTCCGAAGGATTTTCATAAAATTTGGTTCTGAAATTCATGTTGTCCTCTAATACACTGAGATACAAAAATATTGGCGATCCCTTAATCTTTCCTCTAGTGCCACCATCAGGTCAAAGTTTAAATGAGTCCTTTTAAAAAAAAAAGTCTATTAATGACAATCTCTGTACTCTGTGCATTCACAGTTGTTAACATATTAGGATGGTTATAATGCTAAACATGCCCGCTAAATGTCCTCATGTTAGCATTAGCATTTAGCTCAAATCACCTCTGTGTCTGAGCAAACCTTCACAGAGTTGCTAGCATAGCTGTAGAGCGACTCTTAGTTTTAGACTTGGCTAAGTGAAAAAGGAGCATAGTTAAAGCTGAAGCAAACATTAGATGAATCAATTACTTCACTGACAGAAAGCAAACTAGCAAGGGTTTTGATGACAAATGAATTGTTTGTCTTTCAAGCAAAAATAACAAAAATTCACTGATCCCAGCTTCACAAATGTGACTATTTGATGTTTTTCCATGTTTGGTTTTTAGGTTTCTATACAGAAAACAGACTCTGCCATCTAGGAAACCAGAATGGCCACATTTTCTAAAATATTTTCATACAATTCATTTTACACAATTAACTGATAATGAGAATCACTCTAAACTGCAGTCTTAGACATAAACACAAATACTATTAAAATCACAGTTTGTAATAAATATGGTTTAATGTGTAAGAAACAACATGCATGTCATTTTGTAAGGGAAACAATCATCTGTTTGAGTTTGTTCTGAAACTGTTTCCCCAGCAAAGATACAGGAGTCGAGACACTCTACCACACGAGTAGGAGCATAAATATTTCAGCGTTTCGATAAATATTTCACTCTTTCAATGAGATGTGATAGAAAGATAAAAAGGAAAGAGGATTGGATTGCACATGAGCCCCACATGAATATTTGAGTACGGAGATGAGAGGAGAACAAGGGCTGGGCCTGCTTCATGTTGGAGACAGAGGTAGAAAAGGTGTAGTCACCGACAAAAAGGAGTATACAAAGGGTCATGACGGACCCAAGTCTCTGACCTGCAGGGGGCTGCAGGGCTTTTTTAATGTCAATAAAACTCTCCTGCTTGATTTTTTTTCTTTTCTATTTGGAACCTGCCTTATGGACTTACCTTTTATGGTCAGGCACCCCAACTATTCTTCGCTCTAATAATCCTGCTCGTCTCCCTCTCAGTCTTGGCACTGACATTCACAGAACTGCTTACACGACACTGTCAAGGTCTAGGAGGTTGTATTTAGCTTGTCATAAATATTTTGTAAATCCAATACACACATTTAAATGTGCACGTGGCTGTGGTTTATAAAAATAGCAATAAGACAAGTCGACATGCACTGACAAGCACATAAAACAGACACTGACCATGATGTGTGGAAATACTAGTGTCGGTCAAGTAAACAGGCTGGTGAGTTCATTGGTTACCCATTAAGGTATATGGTTCTGTAAATGATTGACAGCTGAGTTAATATTTAATAATGGAAGACCTGGTTTCCTGTGTACACTCAGAAAACAGCCTTAAAGTACATCAGCCAATACACACTGCATATTCACAGCCCATCTGGGTGCTGCTCTGACTTGGTCACTTGAAGCTGACTGGGATGTCACAGGTGCTGTAATTTAACAGAATCATAATGCCCTGCTTTATTTTCACAGTTACAGATTAGAAATTAGCAGCACTGCTAAGGAAGCCCCACACTCGCCCCGTGTCAGTCTCTTTAATAGACTTAATCTGTGGACTTGATGTCATCCACCTACTTGCAGATCACCTGGATGTATGGGAGGTTTTTCATGCCTCTTCATTGTTTCTCCCCGTGTCCTCCAGCTGCTCCCCGTCCCCATACTCATAGTCCCACTGAGCCCTCTCATAATCTAGCTCCTCCCCCTCATACTCAAAACCCTCTCCTCCATATATCAGCTCCTCTGTCTCATATTCAACACCCTCTTCATCATATTCAAGCTCAGCTCCGTCATACTCTGTGACTGGCAGCTCCACATCCCCCTCCTCCTCCTCCTCCTCCTCCTCCACCAGGGACTCTTCCTCTTTAATGTCTGCATCCTCAATGGTCACTGCAGCTTCTTCTGTTGCTTGTTTTGAGCTGCTGTTCTTCAGGATGCCATGAATCACCGGCTCCTCTGCTGCCACAGTCAACTCCTCTGCCTCTTTCTCTGCAGCCTTTTGTTGTCTCTCCTTCCTGGCCTCACGTACTGCCAGGAACTCCGCAGCCCCTTCCCCAACCACCAGCACCTCCTCGCCCACCTTAGGAGGGGCCTTAACAGGATTGTGGTCATAGGAGAACAGGCGCAGGGCTTGAAGACGCTTCAGGCTAGGAAACTCTGATATCTTGTTGCGATCCAGGTCTAAGATCTCCAAGCCTTTCATGCACAGCAGGACTTTGGGGAAGGTATCAAAGCGGTTCCCATAGAGCCATAATCCCCTCAAAGTGCCCATACGCTGCAGGTCAGAAGGCAGCGTCTTCAACTGGTTGTTGCCCATCTGGAGGGACTTGAGGCGGGGCAGGTCGTAGAGCTCTCGTGGAAATCTCTGGAAGTAGTTGTTCTCCATCCACAGGCTGCGCAGACTTCGCAGGTTCCTCAACTCAGGTGGGAGGGTCATCAGCCGGTTGTTGCCCAGGTACAGGCGAGTGAGGTTAGTGAGCTGGCAGACAGCCACAGGGACGTCTTCTATCTTGTTGAAATCGAGGGCGAGTGTCCGCAGACCCTGCAGCTCAGAGATGCTGTCCGGCAGAGTGCGCAGCCTGTTTTCACAAACATACAGCTTCTCCAGGTGCAAAAGTCGACAAACGCATGAAGGCACCCGCTTGAATTTAAAATTGCTCAAGTCCAACACCGGATCTCCACTCTCCAACAACTCCTCCACCCCGAGCGGAAGCACTTCCTCCACCTCCTCTTTCTTCTTCTCTGTGACCTCTGCCTCCTCACCATCCTTCCCCTCCTCCTCTTCTTCTTCTCCTTCTCCCTTCCTTGAGGAGTTGCCCATGCTGTGGCCTGACTCCTCCGTGAGTCAGGACACTGTCATTTGATGAGGTAGTGTCTGTGACAACTTATCCTCACTCATGGGAGCTGTTGTTGTTTTGTGGTTGAACCCAGAGAACATCATGGTGGCCCAATTAACACTCTCGCGGCCATGGCACAGCAGTGTGTCAGGTGTCACTGTGTCCCTTCATCTACTGCTTCATCAAAAAACCACCAGTGGAAAATATCTAATAAACCATTGAATAGTAGTAGTAGTAGTAGTAGTAGTAGTAGTAGTAGTAGTAATAGTAGTAGTAGTAGTAATAGTAAAAATGATAGTAATAGTGCTGCTGGTAGTCGAGGTCAACAAAGTAGAGCTGAATTTTGAGCTGATATTGAATTCCTGCAGTTCTTACCCTTTCCTCTTCTCTTTAACTTCCCCCCGGCTTTAAAGACAGAGATAGCGCACCGCTTTGAGGTCACCGTTTCACGTGATCTGGTCTTTTAATAAGAGCAGGACACTAAACAGTAATTTTACTGTTGCTCTTCCTGCCAGGCGTCGGTGGGTAAGTCCACAGTGTGTGCCTAGCTCAGCGACCTGGCTGGCAGCAAAGAAAAACAGTTAATGGAGGTCTGTCCACTAGTTAATGCAGCTGCTCTCTATTAAAGGCTGAGGTCTCCCAGAGTTAGAATCCGTGCTGGAGACAGACATTGTACAGCGCTGACAGGCTGACTCTACTCCTGATGTTGGCCGCTTCTCTCCATCAGTTTACATTCAATTGCTGCTCCCTCCCTCTGTAACCGGAACAGGGGCATTCATATCACATGGTCAGTGTGTGTGTGTCACAAGTAATCAAAAACTGTTCTCCCATCACCCATGTGCTTTAACACAAGTTTTAAGGCTATTTTTAAGAAAACCTCAGCAGTTTCAGAAATGAACATAAAATGTTTTTTGTTTGTATATTTAAGTTTTAATTTATCTGATTATTTTTTTAATTTATTGTACAAACATAAAAGCTCTTGTCTTTATGTTCTGTAGTCGATTTTGTATGCATACACGATTTTTTCCTGTTTTAGGAATGCTTGCCTCTATTATTATTATTAGTAGTAGTATTGTCATTAGCTTGCGCACATCTGATTTTTTCTGTGATTAAATAAAGGTTGCTGATGATGACAATGATATATATTTATTTTTAGTACAAGTTTGAGGTACCGCTCTGTACTTGAGGTACTTTACTTGAGTACTTAAATTGTATGCTATTTACTGCACTACAGTTACTTGATAGTTACTTTGCAGTTGAAGATTTTCAAACCTTAGATCAGTTTCCAAAGTATGATGCATTGTTATAGATGAACTGTTAATAAAATAGCCAGAACCCCTTACACTGCAGTCACATTGGTCACTGGAAGATATAGAGGCTTAAATAGGCCATTAATCAATGAAAGTCCAACCTTTGAACTGACAACCAGGAGAGAGGAATCACATTTTGAATAACAGGGTAAAGTACTTGTGTTGTCTCAACCTTTCATCTGGTGTCTGAACTCCATACTGTGTAACTATTGAAATTAATTAAAGTCTGAGTTGCAGAAAATCCAGGAATATTTACCTCAGACATTTACAGTACAATATTAAAATACTGCTCACACATTAAAACATTAATAACAATAAACCAATAATAATAAATTAAAGGCTGATAAGAATCTACAGGCTGTATGATGAGTAATTTTACTTTTGATACTTCAACGCATATCTACTTTTACACTGTAAGTGAAGGGTCTGAATACCCCAAATACCCACCAATATAAATACATAATCATACGTTACTGTAATACATTTAGACCTTTTAATTCTAACCTGGTTCTTTTGTCTGAAGGCCCCAAGAAGTAACACTCAGGAAACAGGAATCAGCTTTAAGTAGATTTATTTTCTTCTGGTTAAATGCAGAGTTATTACAGTGCTGGGCTCTGAGAGATGACAAGTCTCCAAGAGCCTCGATAATCACAAATCATTCACATTTATCTTCTCGGGCTGGGACTGCCCTGTACATGGGTGGTACGTTACACGTAAATATTCTAGAATGTTCATATAGGCAGTACGTGTGTGTGTGTGTGTGTTGTTATCTTCTATTT